TCTCATAGACCCTGGCCATGGTTCCCATGTTAGGAACTGCTTGGGACAGACATTGGTGACAGTCTCCCAGGACATCCTGATCTCAGCAGATACCTGATCTATAGCCACACATCAGGCTGACAGCTTATCTGGCCTTATCTATAGTAACCTCCAGGATGCATCTACTCCCTAAGACCCTTTGATATACAAATGTAAAGCTCAGGATGCACCTACTGCCACAAGACCCTTTGATGTGCAAATGTCTACCTTGAATCTTAGGTAAAGCTCTTGTTGCTGACCTTACCATATATGGTTATATTGCCTCTGCTCCTGACTGAGCTGCCCGGACCCTATATAAACAGCCTGTATCCCTCAATAAAGCCTGTCCCTTTTTCTCTCTTTTTCTATTTCTAAACTGTACTCTGTCTCTTGTGTCTCGTGTTCATTCGGTTGGTCCCTCCTTGCACCATCGGATCAATCCTCGGGCCTCGGGCCACCTCTGCGGGCCGGAGAGTGGTTACGAGGTCACCTCTGCGGGCCGGAGAGTGGTTACCGGGGCCCGCTGCAAATCACTATCAAACAACTACATGCTTTGCATGCAGGAGACCCAGTTTCAATTCCTAGCACTACCAGAAGCAACCACCCCACATGTATACCCAGAATCTCATTGAGAGTTGCCCCCAAGCACAGTCTTTGGGGTGTGACCCCAAAACAACAACAAAAAAGGCTCATTTGCTTGCACATCCTCTATAAAAATTATGCCACTGAATTTTTTTTCATAGTCTAGGGCAAGGATTCTTCTACTTTTTCAAGAACTTTTCATGGGACTTCAAGTATATAATTTATTAAGACAGGTATTCAGGGGTCAGAGAATAGCACAGTTAGTAGGGCACTTACTTTGCATGACGCTGACCTGGGTTCCATCCCATGGTGATCCCCCATGCACCACCAGGAGTAATTGCTTGAGGGTAAAACCAGGAATAATCCTTGAGCTCCACTGAGTATGACCCTCCTTCCCCCAAACCCCCCCCCCCAAAAAAACAGGTATATAAGTCACTTACAATTCCTTTTAGCCCAAGAAATTTTCACGAGACTTTAGACATAAGAGTTTTTAAAACAGGTACACTCAAAATTGCTGCTGTGGCTTTGGCCAGATGCCAAAAACTCGGGGCAAAGTTTACCAAGAAAGTAAACGGCCAAAAGTTAGACATGTGGGAGACACCCACAAACCACCTCCGGCTCAGCTATATAATTGGAGGCATGGCCTCTCTGCTTCCTGATCGAACTGCTTAATGGCCATGATCCCAGAGTCTCAGAAACGAATCTCAGAACCCAAAGGCTTTTGGCAGAAATGCGTCCTGTTACAGCAGTAGGTTACTGGCGCTGGGCCACTCCAGGTGGGAATAGGTTTTGTACCTTGGCCTGTTCCCCCTGGCAGCCTGGTGACCACCATCCTCCAGAGGCCACTGGACAGTCAGGTTTGGGCCTGCAGTGACGAGACACATGGGGCCTCACCACATGGGGGTAGAGCCAACTCTTTCTCCCCATCCCAACGAGACCCCAAGTCGCCGCCTACAAACGGCCTCTCTGGCTCCTGATTAAGCTGATTAATGACCATGATACCAGAGACTCAGAAACAAATCTTGAAACCCAGCAGCTTTTGGCAGAAATGCATCTGGACTGCATACAAGGTGGCCACCAGCTCAGAGTTTATTGGAAAGCCAGGTATGAGCTGGCGGTGATGGGGCAACTGCAGTCTCATGGGAAGGGGGGCAGTACCAGATCGTCCTTCACTCCCTACCAAGGTCACGAGTTGCCCCCCACGAGTGGCTCTCTGGCATGGCCATGGCTCCAGAGGCAAAAGGACTTAATCCGACAGCTTGCGGCAGAAAAGTGAATGGACCATGCATTAAACTATGGCACCATGCCTCCCCAGGAGCGAAAGGGAGTTGCTCTCTTCCACCTTTTCCCCCCTGGCAGCAAGGTGGCCGCCACCTCAGAGCTTATTGGAAAGCCAGGTATGAACCGGCGGTGAAGGGGCAACTGCAGTCCCATGGGAAGGGGGACGGTACCGGCTTATCCTTCACACCCTACCGAGGTCATGAGTTGCCCCCAACAAGCGGCTCTCTGGCACAGCCATGGCTCCAGAGGCAAAAGGACTTAGTTCAGAGCCCAGCAGCTTGCAGAAGAAAAGTGAATGGACCATGCATTAAACTACAGCACCATGCCTCCTCGGGAGGGAAAGGGTGTTGCTCCATTCTGCCTTTTTCCCCCCTGGCAGCAAGATGGCTGCCGCCTCAGAGCTTATAGGAAAACCAGGTATGAGCCGGTAGTGATGGGGCAACTGCAGTCTCATGGGAAGGGGGGTGGTACCAGCACGTCCTTCACGCCCTATCAAGGTCACGAGTTACCCCCGAGGAGCGGCTCTCCGGCATGGCCATAACACCAGACACACAGAAACCAATCTCGTAATTATCTGACTCTTTGCAGAAATCCAAAATCGTGGCCGCATGACATTATATGATTCTCATAACCAGCTATAGAAAACAAAATATTTCACAATGCCTTTTCAGCAATTCTGATTGTTTGGGGGGGAAATTCTAAACAATAATGGTGCAAAAAAAAACAATACAGGTACACAAATAACTTACAGATAAATCATACTGTTTTCTTTGGGTGGGGGGGTTGAGGCTACACCCAGCTGTGCTCAGGTCTTACTTTAAATGCCTTAATACAAATATATCTGATTAGTGCTTTCTACAGGCTTTTACAACAGGAACTAGCTTTCAAAGACACCAAATTTTGAGAATCACAAGACCTAAAATTTCTTTGGAAAATTGTGTTTATTAAATCCTGGCTCAGCACTCAGGGTTTACTCCAGGGGGCTGTATGTGGTTCTGTAAACTGAACCTGTGTAGACTGTGTGCAAGGCACAGTGTACTATCCCTTAGGCACTAAACTGTACATTTTAAAAGCAACCACTCCACAAATTCCACATTCAGTTACATGACCTCTTATGAACTACAACCCACCATTTACGCTTTGGGCTAGGGCAAATGAAGAAAGGAAGTGACAGAATTTGGGGTTAGAGTTGAGGCCACATGTATATAAATCATCATGTATAATGCAAAGCCTATTATGTAGGTTTTTAGACATACAGTCAACAGACTTTGATTTAAGGAAAACTGTTAGTAGTTTCTACCTGCCTGATCTTGCACTTTTTAACAATGTCACAGCACATTTATCTTTTTATCAGCAATTGCAGTAACTTCTGCTTTTACTTCAATTGATATCATTAATGCTCACATTATTCAAATGTTAAAATTAAGTCTAAATAAACACCAATCATCAAATACTTATGTTTCTGCCATGTTCCTATTAAAAAATAATGGCAAATAATTCCTTGCCAAAAGCAATATGTGGTGCTATTTACTCACAATGATTGTAATTTTTGTATGTGCCTTCTTAATATGTAACAGATGTGGAAAGACATAGAATTGTCCCACCCCACCCCCATATGCTCAGAGAAACATATGGCCCCGAATCAGATTACACTCTGTATGTGACAAAGTCAAATGTGTTCGTGAAGAAAATCTAAGTTTGCTGTTATTTTCATTTTTCCTAGTTTATTCAACGAACAGCTAACATATGTTATTGTTTGTCCAGGAAATTAAAATCCTGAAGATAAACACAATTTTCCAAAGAAATTTTAGATTTTGTCATTCTCAAAGTTTGGTGTCTTTGAAAGTCACTTCCTGTCGGAAAAGCCTGTAGAGAGTACTAAATTTATATTAAGGCATTTAAAGAACAGAGAGGGTTTCAGTCTTTATTGGTTTCTGAGCTATACCCAGCAGTGCTTAGGGGCTGTTCCTACCTATGTGCTCAGGAAACCATGTGGTACTAGGATTGAACCCTACTCTCCCTTCTGAGTCAGCTCACTGAACTGTATCCCTAGTCCAAGAGTTTTACAGTCTTATTAGATAGTCAACATTGAGGCTAAAATCATGTCGGTTCTCAAAAGAAGCCTGCCCATAATTTATTAATGGGAATTTTGCAACTACCAAACTCCAACATTAAATGTATTTCATATTAGAAACACACCCTCTTAGAAACTTTAAATAACTGACAGAACCTATATACAAGTAAACAAAATCAAGCATAGCAATGGAAAGTGCCCCCCCCAAAAAAACCTTTTGTTGAATCTAAGAATCTGGTTTCTTTTCTTTGCATCATAATTGCATATGTTCTGAGCATATTTAGTCTTAAATTCTACACAAAATTATTGAAAACACAGAGAACCCAAAGAAAACAGCAGGGCTAGAAACATCTATGACTTTCCCTGTACTGCAAAAGATTTATCACTTAAAGTTCCTCTTTTGTTTTGGAAGACTTGATGATGCTTAATCCTCTTCCTGGAGTGACCTTTAGAAGGAATGAGAAAAAGATGAGGGAGCCCAACATTTCACCCTTAGGACCTCGAAGCTCTATCCAAGACATAGGTCTCAGGAGGTAGGATCCTAAATTTCAGTTCTTTTGTTGTGACACATTCTACCTGATGACACCTAAATTTACCTTTTTAGGTCACAAAAGCAGCATCGAGAAAGGGGTCCTAACAACCTGTGAATAGAGCCCAAATGGTAGACAGTGAAATTATCTGAAGGCAGCATACAGGAGTTCAGAAGACTGGAATTCTCAAGTTGGCAAAAGTAGTAACTCTAACTTCTGGAGCCTTGGGGCTCATCAGAAGGAAACAGTTTTCTCTTTACAAAGAAAACTTTAATGAATTATTGATTTCCTTTTGCCCCCACCCCTACCGGTTCCCATTTTAAGGATTTTATTTCAAGAATAGGCCAACTTTTTTCTAAAACAAAGCCTAACATAATTTTGAGCATTCAATATTCCAACTCCAAACCCACCACCAGTACCCACCACAAGTTTCATACCCCTCCACCAGTGACCCAATGGAATTCATTCTTATGTGGTTTTGTGACTTTCTGGAAGGAAACACAGCACCATTTGCTTCATCAGTATTTTATTTTCAGCATTTCATAGCTTGGAAATTTCGTTCCACTAATATCAAACATGAAAGTTGAAGGAGATAAGACTTGCAGATGATTAGCACAGGCTCTACCAACACTGCTGGAGGAAGGAAGTAAAAGAACTGCTTGTCCTCCTGGTCTCTGGAGACCCTTCTGCAGCTTGGAAAATGAGAATATGCATTTCGTTCAAGAGTCAGAATAACATCTCTTCTGACAACCATAATTCCTTTTATTAGGCATTTTGTTGAGCATTAAACAGCACAAATTCAAATGCCAGAGTGCAGGTCAGTGCACTGACCTGCAATTCAATCCAGCTTGGGTGTGTGTTCATAGACACACACATATGGACAGATGCACATGTACACAACAAAAAAGAAAACTGGGCACATTTTACTGTCCTGAAACTAAAATACTTTATAGAGTTACATAACTTTTTCTTAAAAATTCTGATGCACATGCATACATACGTCTTCCCCTGATCAACACAGCAAGTTAGACTTGTTTTGTTTTGGGGCTGCACCCAGTGCTCAGGACTGATTCCTGGATCTGTATGTGGGGATCACTCCTAGTGGACTCAGGGGACCGTATGGGGTGTCAGGGATTGGACCCAGGTGGACCACATACAAGGCAAGTACCCTACCTGTTGTACTATCTCTCCAGCCCTATTTCTTAACACCAATGGAATTCTTTAAAAGGAAGCAAATTCTATGAGATATGCTGATAACAGCAGATGTCTAGTTACAATGTGATCCTGTACTGCTGATTAGCATATTCATAAACAAATCAAACGCAGTGCCAAAAGAAAAATGCTACTGTTTTTGCTCCAACAGCTACTGCTTTTAGTTGTTCTTCTCCATCAGGCAAAATATTCTTTCTCCAGCTCCTATTTATTTTGCTTCCTGCCAATCTTGCAAATAATTCATCTTGTGTATAGTTTCTTCTTCCTAAATGCTTCCTGGTGCTTGATTGCTTTGCCTGTGAGGAATCTGATTTCAAACTGCCATTTTACCTTTATAAACATTTAGGGTTTGCAAGCGTGAGAATGCCCAAAAGGCATGTGAAAATTAGGCTGTAATTAGATCAGCAGAGTATATTTTACAGCATATCAAGCTTTCTTTGTATGCCAGAAATCTCTCTTTGCTCCAAAATTGCATTTTAATCTGGGTGCAGAACTGTAATTTCACATTTATTCTCCATCACAGAAGCCTAGATGCCCATGTATTTATTATTATTGAAAAGAATAATTTCCCGTGATACATGAAATAGATATACCTAAGGTTCTGCACCCAGACCACAAAAAAGTGGAGTGGGGGGAGGAAAAGCAGAAAATGGAAGAAAATAGACGTTATATCAGTTACCACATGGGTTTTTGTGGTTAAAAAAAAAAGTAGAATATGACGTGCAATCGTGCAATTTTCCTTTGCTAGTCGAGCAATACAAGTCTTAATAGAAATCCCACAGATGTTCTTTCTGCATTTCAGGATTTAGTTGCGTGTTTGCCTGGGGTGAGAGTTTCTTGCAGACTTCTGACTCTGAGTGGAATCACTGTGGCTGGAATCACTTTTACTCAATCCAAGATGACGGAGCTTCACATCCCAACGCTGTGAAATTTAAAACAGAAAATAGACACGTGCATATATCATCAGCGTCACCATTTCTATTGTACCAACAACTGGCCAAGACATCAAAAGCAGACCACAAAGGCATTTTACCTCTTTTCCAAAAGTACAGAATTCATACATAACCAGGGTTACTATGAAGTTGGTGTGACATGAACACACACAATTCTCTAATTTTTATAAAGCATAAAATTCGTCACCTATCATTTATTAGAAATTCTTTCATATCAAATCTTAATGTGAAAGTGTTCACTCTGGTAACTGGAAATAAAATACTTATTCACATATTTGAGTACTTCCTGAAGTGATAGATATAAGAAACATCACAAATGATCAACAAATGGAAGAATAATATAGTGATTTTGAAGAAAGTGCTATTTTTCAACTTTCTGTTATAATACAATATGATATCCACTCAAGACATAATAAATTATCACCCTTAAAAGTCTACGTGAATTGAGCAGTGAAAAAATGGAAAGTGGAGGAGATAGAGCCAACTAGAAAATAGTATTCTAGGGATCAAAGAGATAGTACAGTGAGTAAGGCAATTAATTGTCCAGGACACAATTGATCCAGGTTCAATCCTAGCACCCCATATGGTCATACACCAAAAATATGGGAAACAGCCAGTGTTGATGGGGATGTGGTAAAAAAGAAAACCTTATTCACTGTTTGTAGCAATGATGTCTAATTCAGCCTCTATTTAAAAAAAAAAGGTACGGTGATTTTTAAAAAATTTTTATTAGTGAAACACCATGAGGTACAGTTGTAGACTTACAAATTTTTGTGCTTCGGTTTCAGTTATACAATGATCGAGTACACATCCCTCCACCAGTGCCCATTCTCCACCACCACTAGTCCCAGTATCCTTCCCACCCCCTATCCCCTCAATCCCACGCCGTCTCTGTGGCAGGTCATTCCCTTTTGTTCTCTCCTTTTGGGTGCTGTGGTTTGCAAAAGAGGCATTGAGTGGCAATCATGTTCCGTCTATAGTCTATTTTCAGCATGCATCTCCCATCCTGGGAGGAACCTCCCAACACCCTTTATTTGGTGCTCCCTTCTCTATCTGAGCTGTCGTTTCCCCTAGCATGTGTGGCTGGCCTCCAAGCCATGGAGTAAACCTCATGGTACTTATCTTGGCTATTCTTGGGTGTTAGTCTCCTATTTTGTTACTTTATGTTCCCCCAGATGAACGTAAACTTTCTATGTCTGTCCCTCTCTTTCTGACTCATTTCGCTTAGCAAGATACTTTCCATGTAGTACCACTTGTATGTAAATTTCATGATTTCATCTTTTCTAACAGCTACATAGTACTCCATTGGTACGGTAATTTCTCCAAAAAATAATAGAGCTTCCATATGACCTAGCAGGTACCCTTCTTGGCATCTACCACAAAGCACAAATTTTAAAAGATTTATGCTTGTCTATATTCAATGTAGCACTTAATACAATAATCAGGATATAGAAACAACTCCAAATCTCCAGATGAATGAATAAAGATGGTATGTATGGGCTCTAAGCACTGCCAGACAGGCTCTCAAACCAACAAGAAGCAAAACAAGCAACATAGCTATATAAAAAGATGAAATCTTGCATTTTGGAACTAAAGGGTACTGTGTTAAGCAAAATAAGTCAAAGAGAGAAAAAACAAACACCAGATAACCTCACTCACCTGTCATATATAGGGAAATGAAACAAGGGAACAGACAGTATAGAACACTGTCAAAGCTTCACGTTGGACTACAAAACTGAGATTACTGGCAGTAAGAAGGTGGAACAAAGGAAAGAAAGGTAGCAGACTAGGAATAACTTAAAGACAGTGTTGGAGAATCTTGGATACTTTGGTGATGGCAAGACGCAACTATGTACTTGAAAACCATAAACAGGCTGAAGAGATAATAGAGGGTAAGACACTTGCCTTGAATGCAGTCAACCTGGATTTGATCCCTAGCACCCAATATTATACCTCAAGTGCTACCAGGAGTGATCCCTGAGCACAGAGTTAAAAGTAGGCCCTGTGCATTGCCAGGCATGACCCGCAAAAAAAAAAACCATAAACATTAACAATATAACCAGAGTATCTAGATTATGATTTTTTGAAATTTTAATTACATATAACTAAACTTATAATAACTATAACCAACTTTAATATATTTCATAGTAACAATAGCAGTAATGTTTACATGTTATATAATAAATTATAAGGATTTATATTATGGGTATTAAAGATAGAGAATTAAGATAATCACTACAACTAATTGTACTTCTCAAACTTCAGTAAACATAAAAATAACCTGGACTTTTTAATATAATTTGCATTCTCATTCATAGGTCTAGGGTAGAGCCCAAGATCTTCCTATCTAACCATCACAACATGAACTTTCAGGCGATTTCAATGCTACAGGCTTAGGAGCCACTATCTTTTAAGCAGCACGAAAGTAATGTCCAATGGGTCAAGTTCAAATTCTAAATCTACTAGTTACCGAGCAAATTTCATAAACTAGGTACCATTTTTATCATTTATTAATTGGAGTTATTAACAAAACCTGCTTATAAAACTGTCCTGATAATTAACAGATAAAATGTATAAAGTGCTTAATACATGAACTATTTTTATTAAAAGAGTTTGGGGTTTATTTATTTATTTATTTATTTATTTGGTTTTGGGCCACACTGGTGATGCTTGAGCTCTGCACTCAGAAATTTCTCCTCCCAAAAAGCAAAAAAAAAAAAAAAAAATTACTCCTGGCAATCCCCGCCACACTCATGGCTGACCCTCACAGGCTCATCCTGAGTCCACATGCATGAGAATGAATCTGCTGAAAAACCCAGGTATGAAGGGTCAAGTGACTGAAAACTCCAGGCTTCATGGAGTCAGGGATGGAGACCCTGATAATCATGCCCAAGAGCTGTCTCTGTGCGTCATTTAAGTGCATCAATGGCCATGATTCAGAGTCACAAATGAAACTCAGAAAAGAGCAGCATGCCGCAGAAATGCCTCCGGACCCCAAATATTTTAGAATTTTAGAACTCCAGAACATCTCATACTACCATAACAAGAAATATAAAATAAATTACTTAGCACCTGCCTATGGGGCATGCTTGGGTGGTGGTAGGAAAATTCGAAATAATGGTGGTGGGAAGGTGTAATGGTGGTGGGATTGGTGTTGAAACATTGAATGTTGACAATTATTGTTAACAACTTCATGAAAATAAAATTTTAAATTTTTTTAAAAAAATAAGAAATTACTCCTGGTGTTGTTCAGGGGACCAGATGGGATTCTGGGGATTGAACTTGATGATCACATGCAAGGCAAACACCCTACCCACTCTGCTAACACTCTAGCCTCAACAATTCTTTATTTTAATATATTTAACACAGTTTAGTCAGTTTACATGCATATTTGTTATAGTGTTTGGTGAAGGGATAAAACTACATTTAAAAATTCTGTTTTGGTCTGGAAAAAACCTGAGTCCCCGAGAACAGATGACTGGTTAAAGAAACTTTGGTACATCTACACAATGGAGTACTATGCAGCTGTCAGAAAAGATGAAGTCATGAAATTCATATACTATTGGTACTATAGGACTGGAGCGATAGCACAGCGGTAGGGCATTTGCCTTACAAGCGGCCAACATGGCCGACTCGAGTTCGATTCCTCCGCCCCTCTCGGAGAGCCCAGCAAGCTACCGAGAGTATCTTGCCCACACGGCAGAGCCTGGCAAGCTCCCCGTGATGTATTTGATATGCCAGACACAGTAACAACAAAGTCTCCAATGGAGACGTTACTGGGCCCGCTCGAGCAAATTGATGAACAATGGGAGGACCATGATCCGTGATCCGTGATTGGTACTATATGGAAAGTATCATGCTAAGCGAAATGAGTCAGAAAGAAAGGGACAGACATAGAAAGACTGCATTCATCTGGGGAACATAAAGTAACAAAATAGGAGACTAACACCCAAGAATAGCCGAGATAAGTACCAGGAGGTTCACTCCATGGCTTGGAGGACAGCCACACATGCTAGGGGAAACGACAGCTCAGATAGAGAAGGGAGCACCAAATAAAGGGTGTTGGGAGGTTCCTCTCGGGATGGGAAATGCGTGATGAGAGTAGACTCTAGACTGAACAAGATTGCCACTCAATGTCTCTTTTGCAAACCACAGCACTCAAAAGGAGAGAGACAACAAAACGGAATGCCCTGCCACAGAAGTAGGGTGGGATGGGGGGATGGGAGTGGGTGGGAGGATACTGGAACTAGTGGTGGTGGAGAATGGGCACTGGTGGAGAGATGGGTATTCGATCATTGTATAACTGAAACCCAAGCACAAAAATGTGTGAGTCTACAACTGTACCTCATGGTGTTTCACTAATAAAAATTCTGTTTTGGTTTAAATGATTATCTCTTGTCTCACTTCTTGGACTCTCTCAATTAGATCTCCAAGGGGATCGAGGCTCTAGTTTTTATCAAAGAAAGTTTTAATAAAGGTTTTAATTTCCTAAAAACAAAATCTCAATAAAATCTTTTATTATTCTCTTAGAAAGACCGGAAAACTGAAAGATCTAATAATTATAACTAACTTATTTTCCATTCACAGTCTTAGCTGGATGCGGCACAGTGGGTAGGGAGCTTGCCTTGCACGCGGCCACCCCGGGTTCGATTCCCAGCATCCTATTTGGTCTCCTGAGCACCACAAGGAATAATTCTTGAGTGCAGGGCCAGGAGTAACCCCTGTGCCTCAGCAGGTTTGACCCAAAAAGAAAAAAAAAAGTCTTAGCTGGAGTTATCTGGATATGAATAAAAACTTTTTCGAGTTTAATTCTTCCCTTTAGCATATTTAAAGCTAGATTAAGAATATAAGTGTTTTAGTATGGACGACTCTCAAAAAATTAGAATTTGATCTGCCATTTGACCCAGCTATAGCACTCCTGGGAATATATCCCAGAGAGGCAAAAAGGTATAGTCGAAGTGACATCTGCAATTGTTTGTTCATTGCAGCACTCTCTACAATAGCCAGAATCTGGAAAAAACCTGAGTGCCCAAGAACAGATGACTGGTTAAAGAAACTTTGGTACATTTACACAATGGAGCACTATGTAGCTGTTAGAAAAGATGAAGTTATGAAATTTACATACAAGTGGTACTACATGGAAAGTATCATGTTAAGCGAAATGAGTCAGAAAGAGCGGGATAGACACAGAAAGATTGCATTCATCTGGGGAACATAAAGCAACAAAAAGGGAGAGTAACACCCAGGAATGGCTGAGATTAGTACCAGTAATTTTGCTCCATGAATGGAAGGCCAGCCACAGGCTCTAGGTGAAAAGGAAGCTCAGATAGAGAAGAGAGTACCAAATGAAGGGTGTTGTGAGGGCCCTCCCAGGGTGGGAGAAGCATGCTAAAAGTAGTCGATAGACCAAACATGATTGCCATTCAAAGCCTCTCTTGCAAAACACAGTACCCAAAAGAAGAGAGAGAGAACAAGGGGGAATACCCTGCCACAGAGGCAGGATGGGACGGGGGGGGGTGGGGATGAGGGTGGGGGGGGGGATGCTGGACCCATGGGGATGGATGACGGGCATTGGTGGAGGGATGGGCACTTGATCATTGTATAACTGAAACCCAAGCACAAAATTTGTAAGCCTATAACTGTACCTCATGGTTTTTCACTAATAAAAAAAGAAAAAAAAAGAATATAAGTGTTTTCACAATTTAAAAAAAAAACATTAGTCCGTAGAAAGCAATGGAAAATGTTTTCCATACTAAGAAATGGTATAAACAAGCCACGAAGGTCTTCATGAGACACTGTCTTGTTACCAAAAGAAAAGTAGCAACTCTTGTTGCAGATTTTGCAACAAGGATGCTGAAAACTCTTCCAAATGGTATGGGAATTTAGGACAAATCTCTGTTCTGCATTAGCAGCGGAAAAAACAAATTGAAAGGATAGTAAGGATTTCACCATAGTAAAGAGCTGCTTTTTCTTTGCCAAATACCAAATTAATTTCAGTGAGAAACAAATAGAAAATACCTCAAGTTTGAACTCAAAATACATCTCACTTTTGACAAATGCATTGCGGGATACAGGTGTCTGTGGAGAAGCGCTTAATCATGAAAAATAATGCTCTTTACATTTTTTGTAGGTCACTCAAACTCAAATGTATCTGCTGTGTTAAATACAAGCTGCATAAGGTAAACTGCCCAGGGCTGTTTAACTTCCTCTGTGAATGTTTCTCAAAACTTTCAAATTTAAGGAAGGAAAAGGATGTACTATATCCCTACGATATCTGCTCTATCACCACCCACCAAGTACACACACACACACACACACACACACACACACACACACACACCCTTTTTAATTATTTGATATTCTATGCATATTCTTCCTTCCTTCCTTCTTTCTTTCTTTCTTTCTTTCTTTCTTTCTTTCTTTCTTTCTTTCTTTTATTTCTTTCTATACTAAGGAGATTTGCTTACCATAGTAAGAAAAAATGGAACCTTACATAGTAAATCTACTATGTGATTTCCAGAAAATGTATCACTTCCATAACCAAGAGTCATTGTCTTAAAACTACACTACCCTTGAGTCTAATTGGGTCATATCTTTTACAAATGAATGCAGATGAAAATAGCTATGCCTTGGACACAGGAATTGATTTCAATATAATGGAACAACAGTGACATTTTCTAACCCAAGTTTTATTCTCTTCCATCTTTCACTCATATAACTATAATTTTTTTTCAACCAAGCAGTATATCCAGAGAAAAAACATTTCTCAGTCTCTCTTGGATCTAGGAATTACATGGAACTCAGACCAAGGAAACCCTGCTAGATGGTGCACTCAGAAAGTCCTTTTCACCTCCACTTTATTTCTCCCTGTAATGTAGATGTGTGCCTGGCAGTGGTGCAGCCCCCTAGCCATCACCAGATGAATACGAGAATGGAAGCAATACTCTAAATATCGTATAACAGTAAATTAGAAGAAGAAATATGTGAACTATCTTAATGAATTAAATATATTAATGAAATATACAGTCACCCTATCAGTTCTGGAGAAACCACACGAGGCTTCTTTGACAAGTTCGGAGCCTATTATTAGAACCTCAACACAGAGAACTCATTCTTCAAAAAAAATTAAATAAAAGTGAATCTTTGGATTTTTAAATATATAAATATGCATACAGATATACATACATTTCTCCCTGTGTATATCTGATGTTTTGATACTTTTCATATAGTTTCATGAAATTTAAATGATATTTCTCAGGCAGCCATTTTAATTCTATGACAAATAGTTTATTTTCTGCTTTATTTTCCAAGTACATTTTGGGGGTTTGTTTGTTTGGTTGGTTGGTTGTTTTTGTTTGTTTTTTAGGTCATGCCTGGCAATATTCAGAATTTCCTAGAGGCTCTGCACTCAGAACTCACTCCTGGTAGTGCTCAGGGGAACATATGGGATGCTGGGGATCAGACCTGGGTCAGATGCATGCAAAGCTAACACCTTACTCGCTGTGCTATCTCTCCAGCCCCTTTCCAAGTATACTTATATATATCTAGAACATAAATCATAGGCTTACCTTAACTTTTTTACCAAGGCGATCCTTCCATTTCTCAGCAATAGAACCTTCCACCAACAGTAATCTGTATTTTTAAAGAATCAAACATTTTTTTTAAAAAAAACTTAAAACATGTCACTGAAAAATACAGGCAATCATAAACAAGAAATAAATAGACTGCTTCTTATAGAACAGGAGGACAGTGAAGTTTGGAAAGAGTAAGAAACAAATGCAGTAACCACACCCTGCGGGAATCACACACATACACATACACACATCTATGTATATGTGAAACTGAGGGGCACAACTAGCACCTACCCATGATCTTCTAGAAGCTAGATAAGTGCTAAAGCAAGCAAGAGCTAAGATCTCTAGACAACTACAGCGAGGGTTGCCTAGACACAGAAAATATTCCAAATCTTTAAGGGGCATACCTGGAACGTTCCTCATCTTCGTAGCCCATGATGACATATTCCTCATTAACATTAAGCGGAGGGCACAGGCAGCCAGAGCTGGTATAAAGGTTAACAGTGTCCCTTGGAATGTTTACCAAAGACGCCTTCAGTATCTCTTTCACCTCCACTACTGCAGTCACATCATGGCACTTGCTCTTCACCTCTTTGACTTTAGCACGAATGACTGGACAAAAGACAATAAAGCAGATACATTGTTAGGATACACAAGAGGTGCCCCGCTTGAGCAAATCCATGAACAAGGGAATGACAGTGATACAGTGAATGAAATGTTAATGTTAATCATGGAAAGAAAAATGTACATTGGGGAGATAGTACAGAGGGGAGGGCGCTTGCCTGGCACGTGACTACCCTGGGTTGGATCCTTGGCATCCTATAGGGTCCCCTGAGCCCCACCAGGAGTGATCCACCCTGAGCACAGGTGTGGACCAAATAAAAATTACCTTTCAATTAGAAAATTTAAAAAAAAAGAGGTGCCCAGTTTCTATCCTTTATTTTTTTTTGCTTTTTGGGTCACACCTGGCAATGCACGGGGGTTACTCCTGGCTCTGCACTCAGGAATCACCCCTGGCGGTGCTCAGGGGACTATATGGGATGCTGGGAATCGATCCCAGGTTGGCCGCATGCAAGGCAGATGACCTACCCACTGTGCTATTGCTCCAGTCCCGCCCAGTTTCTATTCTTAATACAATGCTCAAAGAATAGAAGGGAAAAGCCAAGCAGATATTCCTGCCCTAGGCAGTAGTAAATGATAAATAAAAAACATGCCTATCCTCTTAATGTTCAACCTTGATCTCCTTTCCAATTTGTTTGCATGTATACATACACCAATGTACATACACGTGTGCCTGTATTTAATTATACCTAATTTTTCAACATTTTTAAAAATTTGGATCAAAGTGAGATACACAGTTACAAAGTTGTTCATGATTGGATTTCAGTCATATAATGTTCCAACACCTATCGCTTCACCAATGTACATTTCCCACCATCAATGTCTCCAATTTCCTTTCCACCCCCTCTTCAATCACTTCTTCTCCCCTTCCCTTCCTCTCCCTCTCTTTTGGGCACTATAGCTTTAGGGCGTTTGCCTTGCACACAGCCAACATGGCCGACCCGAGTTCGATTCCTCCGCCCCTCTCGGAGAGCCCAGCAAGCTACGGAGAGTATCTCGCCCACACGGCAGAGCCTGGCAAGCTCCCCGTGACGTATTAGATATGCCAGACACAGTAAAGTTTTTATATTTTATATAATTTTTAAAAAACTTATATTTTTATGTGGTTTTTTATTTCATTGTGAGAAATTCACACAGAAAATCAAAGGTTGAGTTAAAATTTTTTCTAAAATTTCATTCTGGATGTGTATATAAGTAGATGTGCTGTTTCAATTTCTATCATCAGGAATTAAACTATATTAATTTTACTCTATGTAAAGATCTCAAGTTCACAGAGAACACAAGATAATGTCCTAAATTACTTGCCTGGTGAGATTTGTAAGCAAAAGTTTTCTTTAGTTTGTGTTTTTAACAAAAGGTAAGACAGCCCCTTTTAAAATACCATTTGAGACAATCTGATGACAAATTCACATCCCCAGCCAGTTTTTATTTTATCCTGGTTTACAGGAGAGTGCTTCACAGAATCCATCAGTTATTAGAGATGAGTGAACTGTGCAAATGTTCTCAAACTAATGATTTATTTACCCAACGTGTCAACTATTTTGGTAGACATTTTTAACACATGTACCCACTCCAAAATAAATATCTCTCTACAAGACTTACTTTATTATTTAGGCAATTTTGTTAACGTTCAAGAGCTCTTAACAGGATTAATATAAATGAAGCAGAGTTTTTGACTAAATTAATAGTCTCTCCCACTCTGTTTTTTCAATTGACATATCAGATACGTTAAAAATGTAAAATAAATCAACTTATTATTAAATTAAAGGTGCATTTTATTTGGGGCATTTCTTTGTATTTGAGTGCCTTTCATTTTTTTTTTTAAAAAAATAGCTATAAATCCTTACAAAAAATTCTTAAACTATGGGCTACCTGTTGTTTGTGTGGTTATGAAGGAAATAATTATCTCCACCCTATTCATTGTGATATATATATATATCCCATATTATTATATAATATTTACACAGCAACCCCTGTCTAATGCTTTTTTATTCTATAATGTATAATACTCTTTCCAAGATTTTAAATTTATAGCCAAAAATAGCAACACAAGACCAGAAAAATGGTACTGTGGGTTACTGTGGATAGGGCATTTTTCTTGTAACAGTCAATCCAAGTTTGATCCCAATATGGTTCATTAGCCCTGCCAGGAGTGAACCCTGAGCCAGGAATAATCTCTATACATTGTTGGGTTTGGTTCCCCCACAATCCAAATTAGCAGCACAAATCACTGTAGGACTACAGAAGTAAAAGAAAATTAATTGATAGTAAGAAAACACAAAAACAACTAAATTTCCCTGATAGGAAATTTAATTACTGTGCTTAAATGTCCACATAGTGTTTTTCTATTTAAAATGATACTCTCCTAAAAATTAAACCCACTTCTTCCCTCATATATTTTCATATCAGTCTGGTTCAGATAAGTAAGCAGACACTGAATTTCAATAATCTTAAACTTTCAAACCTGGAAAGTATGTTCATGTTCTGTGAAACCAGATTAATTTTAAGTAGTAAGAGAAAAATAAAAATTTAGTCTATTGAATATGAACTTAGGTATCTAGATATTTTTATTCTAAAAGGATTAAACTGAGAATTTCTACTTTGTATCTTTTAGTATACAGCAAATATTTTTAAGATAGTAAAGATCACTCTTGCAGGGACTTGCTCATTTCTCTTTTAATACCTAAAAGTAAAAAAGTAGAACCAAACAAGTTATGTGTGTCTTATTCTGAAATCAGACAGGTAAATTCAATATAATTCTCATTGTAATAATATTCTTTTTTAAAATCTGGTTTTTTTCAAGTTAGCAAGATTTTATCTCCTCTTAAGTTAGAAACCAAACTAATTTAACTTAGGCAAATTAAAAGTGCTGATAACTCTTGTTAAATATGAGTAACATTTAAATTTATCTTAACTAGCAATTGAGGGAAGGAGAAACAGTAGGTAAGGTGCTTGCCTTGTCCATGACTGTCCTGGCTTATGTTCCAGGCACTACATAGGATCCCCGAGCACTGCCAGAAGAGATCCCTGAGTGGGAACTAGCAATAAGTCCTGAGGATGACTACGTGTGGCCCCAAAACCAAACAAACAAATAAAAAAAAACTACTAATTGCCATGGTTATTTACCAAGTCAACAATAATCTTCTGTAAAGACAGCAGTTCAAATTTTATTAATCTCATTGATGCTTTCAAAATAACAAAATGATTGTTGAATGCAATAAACATTAATTTAGCCTTCATTTTTAGCAACTGGAAAACACTATTATTTGGCCACTCTAAATGTAACAGCAACTGATAGTTTGACTCTAGACTACCAGTGCCCAAACCTACTTTCTGAATAATCTAAGACAAGGTAACTTCAGTTCAATAATTATTGATGAAATCAGGCTAATATTATACCTCCAAGAGCAGATGAGGAAACTACAAGAATATGGAAGCTATCTCACATAGTACCAGGCAGACACAACAAGTAGCTGCCTTTTTCAGCTTTCTGTCAGCTACAATTGGCCTGGTAGCTCTTCAACTAAGATGTTATCAGAATATCACATTTCTAGGCCGAACTACATAACAATGTATTTTCTTTAACTGAATACGAATCATTTTTGGCGATTACTTTCCGACTCTGCCAATGCTACCCATGAGAAAGACCCAGTAAAGAAACAATCAAGACCAGTTTTGCCATTCTTTGTGCATTAAGTGCTCCTAGTTCAGCCAGTTGAACTTAAATTATAGCTGATGACCTTCCTTTGATTATTCAGAAAGTAGCTTTGAGCACTGGTAGTCTAGAGTCGAACCATCACTTGCTATTACATTTAGGGTGGCCAAACAATCGAGTTTTCCAGTTGCTAAAAATGAAGACTAAAATAAATGTTTATTGTATTCAACAATCATTTTGTTATGTTGAAAGCATCAGTGACATTAATAAAATTTAAACTGCTGTCTTTTTTTTATGTAGGAGTACTGCTATTTATTCAGCCACTGATTAGCTGATTGAATTGGGCATGAACTCCACCTTACATTTTTTCTTTTATAATTTTATTTTTTTCTTCTTATATTTATTTATTGAATCACTGTGGGAAAAGTTGGAAAGCTTTCAGGTTTAAGTCTCGGTCATACAATGATCAAACACCTCTCCCTTCACCACTACTCATTTTTCACCACCAAGAACCCCAATATACCCCCCTCCACCCCTCCCAATGCCTGTGAGGCAGATGATTTCTACTTAACTTTTCTCTACATTGATTACATTCATTATTTTGACAAAAGATACACCATTATTGTTTAGAATTTCCCCCCCCCCCCAATCAGAATTGCTGAAAAGGCATTGTGAAATATTTTGTTTTCTATAGATGGTTATGAGAATCATATAATGATTTTGTATTTCTGCAAAGAGCCAGATAATTATGAGATTGGTTTCTGTGCGTCTGGTGTTAGACTGTGCCAGAGAGCCACTCGTGGGGGGCAACTCGTGACCTCAGTAGGGCGTGAAGGATGAGCCGGTACCGCCCCCCTTCCCATGAGACTGCAGTTGCCCCACAACTGCCAGCTCATACCTGGCTTTCCTATAAGCTGTGAGGCAGTGGCCACCTTGCTGCTGGGGGGGGAAAAAGGCGGAAGGGAGCAACACCCTTTCCCTCCCAGGGAGGCATGGTGCCGTAGTTTAACACATGGTCCATTCACTTTTCTGCCACAAGCTGCTGGGCTCTGGACTAAGTTCTTTTGCCTCTGGAGCCATGGTCGTGCCAGAGAGCCGCACATGGGGGACAACTTGTGACCTCGTTAGGGTGTGAAGGATGAGCCGGTACTGCCCCCCTTCCCATGAGACTGCTGTTGCCCCTTCACTGCCGGCTCATACCTGCTTTCCTATAAGCTCTGAGGCGGCGGCCACCTTGCTGCCGGGGGGCGGGGGGGGGGGGGGAGGGGAAGAGGCAGAAGGAAGCAACACCCTTTCCCTCCCGGGGAGGCATGGCACTACAGTTTAATGCATGGTCCATTCACTTTTCTGCCGCAAGCTGCCGGGCTCTGGATTAAACTGCTGTCTTGACAGAAGATTATTATTGACTTGGTAGATAAACATGGCAATTAGTAGGTTTTTTTTAATTTGGTTGGTTGGTTTTTGGGCCATACGTAGTCATCCTCAGGGTTTATTGCTGGCTGTGCACTCAGGGATCACTCCTGGCAGTGTTTGGGGATCATATGTGATGCCTGGAATACAACCCAGGACAGTCATGTACAAGGCAAGCACCTCACCCATCGTCTCTCCTTCCCTAAGTGTTTCTGATCTGAAACACTTTTCTGTGTAGTTATTTATATGGTTCTAAATACTTTGCTGTGTGGTTATTGGGGGGCTGGAGTGATGGTACAGCAGGTGGGACATCTGCCTTGCATGTGGAAAGGCGAACAATATGCCTGAAGGTCAGAAAGTCAGCAATATGCCTGATATAAGAATCAAGCATTTGTTAAGAATTTTGCCCGTATGAAATATTGCTTGTCTCATGAAGAAGATGCTCTTAAAAGCTGTTTTGGGGTGCTGGAGCAAAAGTGGGAAGGGTACTTGCTTTTCACATGGCCGGCCCCAGTCCAATCCCCGACACCCCAGATGGTCCTGTAAGCTCCACCAGGTGTGACTCCTGAGTGCAGAGCCAGGAGTAACCCTGAGCACCATGAGCTGTGGCCAAAAAAGAAGCTGTTTTTTGTTTTTGATTCTTAAAAACCTCACTCCTCTTTCTCTCTCTTTTTCTCTGTCTCTTTCTCACACACACACCTCTACTCCTCTCTCTCTCTCTCTCTCTCTCTCTCTCTCTCTCTCTCTCACACACACACACACACACACACACACCCTTCTAAATAAAGCAATTTATAGGTCAGTCATAAAGTTGTCCTTACCATAGTTGTAATTGTTTCGGAAATAGGTCTTCTGTGTAGCTCTAATGGGTTTACACTTGCAGCGTTCTGAAAAATACAATACGTAACCATGAGAAAATTTCCAAAGTTAGATGTTCTTTGTTTAATCACATTTTCTTCCTGAGACATACATTTTAAATGAGAAAGATCTCAGCAATACTGTGTTTCTGACCTGTGTTTCCCTAGAACTACACTCAAGTTTATTGTATCTACAAAGTCTATTATTCAGTGCCTATATGCTCATATATTTCACTCCAACAAGCCCCCCAAAACAAATCCTCTTCACTACCAATCCTGAGGAGCACATGACCCCTGAATCCTAAAGGAGATGCCTTTAGTGTTTATAGAAATAGGTCATTGCCTACTAAGAGGCAGTTTTTTGTGGGTGTCCCCGGCATCATTGTGCTACTGGGCCTGGGCCCAGATCTTCACCACTGGTCAAGTACTGCTGGGAGGGTCACTGGTCCTCACACACTCTTGGAGATCCTTCCCCAGACTGAAAAATACAAAAGCTGGAAAGCTATCTAATTCTGCTCCATCGTTGTCCTATTTTGTACCAAAACATGGTTTTTTTAAATTTCAAAGAACTGCCTTTGACTTTATGTTTATTTATCCCAAGCATATTAATTTCTGACGGAATTCACGAAAAGATAAATAGATCTGAAGGATTATCTTTCTTTGACAGTTTATTCATACAAACATCTATTTCCCTAGAAATACAGAGGGTAGGACACTTGCCTTGCATGTGGCCTACCTGGATTTAATCCCCCTCGTCTGTCATATAGTTCCCCGAGCCTTTCCAGGAGAGCAGCCAAAGTCCCCTCCCCCAAACAATGTAAATATTTTTAAATTAGAGACATGTTTAAGATGAGAATATTTCTGTAGAAATAAATGGTTTTTCATTTCTAAATTATTTTCATCTAGATATGGATACAACTGTATGCTAGTTGTTTTGTTATGGTGGTGGTGGTTTGGTTTGGGGGTCACACAAGCACTTCTCAGGGCTCACACCTGGATTTGAGTTCAGGAATAATAACTGCTGGTGGGATTGGGGGACCATATGGGATACCGGGGATCAAACCTGGGTTGACCACATACAAGGCAAATTCCCCACCTGCTGTACTATCACTCTAGCCCCCCAAAGTATGCTATTTATAAAAAATTATGCACTGTCTACAATTTGCAATTCTGAAAAACTCTAATAAACATGTTTAGCAAAATATCACAGGACTGAGTCTGCTATGAGTGGTTACCATATAACCTTACTTGAGGAAGAATCTATTAGTTATTTCAAGCATACCTTGAGTTAGGAATTAAGAGCATAAAAAGGGTCTCCCAAGTTAAAGGGCATTGCCAGAGTCTTTCCAGGAGTGACACCTGAGAACAGAGCCAGGAGTAAGTTCTGCATATAACCAAGTGCAAATATGCTCTATTTGCTAACTCAAGCTATGTAGTTGAAATAACTAGTAGCTCAATAAAATAATAAGAGTAATTAAGAGGAGAATAAATTTATTCTCACAAGGCTCAATTTTAAAAGAACTGCCTTTAACTTTATTTTTATTTAGCCCTAGCATATTAATTTCTGAGGGAAAGAAAGAGAGAGAGAATAATATATTAATTCACTTGCATTCACCTTGGAGGGAAAAAAAATAACTAAGTTATTCTTATCTAAGAGAAAAATATGAAAGTTAAAGGGGCTGGTGATGACAAGATAACCTAAGAAGTTACAATGGGTCCTTGGAATGTGGGGAATATTTTAATATTAGCAATCCATTGGCCTCAAATTTCAAAATCAGGACCCTCAGTATAACATGCCAGCATCCATTCATAGGCAGCCACGCACAACCACCAGACACTTCCAGGGCCCTTTCTCTCATCTTCTCACTGGTTTCTCCCCATCACTCTCTTACGATCAACAATTGGCTTCACTGTTCACGAAACTAAGTACTATTATCCCAGTTCATATATGCTCAGAGGAACAGGTATGACTCTGCAAAATTAACATGCCCAGAGTTTAAAGACTATCAGATACATATAAGATGTAAGTAATCTTGCTTAACAACCAACATGGCAATTTACATAACCATTCTAATAGTTATTAAAGAATGTCACAAAACAAACACAGACACTCAGTTTCATTCCTTCCTAGTTCTGTGGCCATAAGCAAGTTATAAATCTATTTCTAACTTAATTCTGTCTACATCACTTGACTCTTGCTAAGGATATAAATAGTAATTCACAAACAGAATTTGGTATAGATCTCATAACACTATTAGTAGATCTCTCTATAGAAACTAAAGGCCAGGAAAGTAGTGGCTTGATATATATGGAGTGTTGAATGGAAAGGGAACTCCAACCAAGACTACCCTACCCAACTAGGTTAATACTTACATTTGAAAGAGGCTTTTCAAGCAGTTCAAGGAATTCATTGCCATTAAACCAGCCCTTCAAGAAATATGTAAGGACTTCTATAAACAGAAAATTAACCCATTGGGTTAATTATAAAATTAATCCACATTAATCATATGTGGGTGTGTATGTATGCATTTCGTACTATTAATTTCTTTCTAAAACTTTTGCTCAGGGGGCTGGAGTGATAGCACAGCAGGTAGGACATTTTCCTTGCATGCAGCCAACCCGGGATTGATTCCCAGCATTCCATATGGTCCCCTGAGCACTACCAGGAGTAATTTCTGAATGCAGAGTCAAGAGTAACCCCTGAACATTGCCGGGTGTGACAAAAAAAAAAAAACCTTCTTCTGAGGATCAGGGAGATGGCTCAAAGCCTTACATGCTGAAGGCCAGGGTTTCATCACCAACAACACATGGTCCTCTGAGCACTGCCAAGAGTGACCCTCATGCATGGAGCTGGGAGTAGGCCCGAAGCCCTGTGAAGTGTGCCCCCAAAGCAAAAATAGCTATTTACTAAAATACTTGGGCTGGAGCGATAGCACAGCGGATAGGGCGTTTGCCTTGCACGCAGCCAACATGGCCGACCCGAGTTCGATTCCTCCGCCCCTCTCGGAGAGCCCGGCAAGCTACCGAGAGTATTCGATATGCCAGACACAGTAACAACAAAGTCTCCAATGGAGACGTTACTGGGCCTGCTCGAGCAAATCGATGATCAACAGGAGGGCCTTTACTTACTTTTACTTTACTAAAATACTTCAATATTATTTTCTATTCTTTTTTTATATTTACCTTTTTATTACTTTTTTAATTAGGAGTACTGCTATTTATTCAGCCATTGATTAGGCTGATTGAATTGGGCATGAACTCCACCTTACTTTTTTCCCCCTTTTTTATAATTTTATTTATTGAATCGCCGTGAGAACAGTTACAAAGCTTTCGGGTTAAGTCTCGGTTATACAATGAAACACCCATCCATACACCAGTGCTGATTTTCCACCACCAAATACCCCAGTATACCTCGAATCCCACACCCTCCCCCTACCTGTGGGGCAGATGATTTCCACATTAGTCTTAGATTACATTCAAAATTTCGACACCAGATCCACCATTATTATTTGGGATTTTACCCCAACACTCAGATCTGCTGAAAAGGCAACAGTAGACAATTTTCTTTCTATTGCTGGTTATGAATAACATATGATGTCACACAGCCACAGCAGTGGCCGAACGATTTTGGAATTCCGAATTATTTATTTATTTATTTATTTTGACCCCTTGGAGGTGGACGGGTTGAGTTTCCCTCCCCGCCTCGAGCAGAGCCCTAGCAGCCGAAGACCTCCAGAACCAGCTACCACCATGCTGAGACCACTCTTCACACGCATGAAGGTACCAGCAGAGGAACAAAGGCATGCGGGTCCCGGGGCTGAGATCTCCAAGCCTGCTCGGATTAGGGCTGAGCATCCTCCACCCAGATCCTCCATCTTTCAGTAGGCAGGGGTCACACCCACCAACTGCCCCCAGCACTATGTAATCCCATCAACGGCCAAGACCCAGAGACTATAAAACCCAGCTCCCGGAAGAGAACAGCGTAGAGTCTCCTGTCCCCGCACCTGGCTGTCCTCACCAGAGGCCCTTTGGAGGGGGACAGGTTGAGTTTCCCTCCCCGCCCTAAGCAGAGCCCCGGAAGCTGAAGACCTCCAGAACCAGCCACAAACATGCTGAAACCACTCTCCACACGCATGAAGGTACCAGCAGAGGAACAAAGGCATGTAGGTCCCGGGGCTGAGATCTCCAAGCCTGCTCGGATCGGGACTGAGCATCCTCCACCCAGATCCTCCATCTTCCAGTAGGTGGGAATCACACTCACCAACTCCCTGCCTCCCCCCGCAGCACAGTGTAATCCCATCAACGGTCAAGACCCAGAGAATATAAAAACCAGCTCCTGGAAGCACACGGCTGCATTTGTGGCTATGCGACATCTTATTATCTTATTTTTGCTTTGGACAACCTGGTAGGCTACCAACTGTAACCTGCCCAGATGGCAAAGTCTGGCAAACTCCCCATGGCGTACCCAATATGCCAAATACCAGTAACAATGATGGATCTCATTCTCCTAACCCTGAAAGAGCCCTGAATATGGCACTTTTTAAAATCTCAGGGCTAGGACGAAGGAGACGTTACTGGTGCCTGCTTGAGGCAATTAACCAACAACAGAATAATTGTGATCGTGACCGTGATTTATTTTTGCTTTTTGGGTCACACCTGGTGATGCACAGGGGCTACTCCTGGCTCTGCACTCAGGAATTACTCCTGGTGATACTCAGGGGACCATATGGGATACTGGAAATCGAACCTGTGTCACCTGCGTGCAAGGCAAATTCCCTACCCACTGTGCTATCACTCCAGTCCCGGAATTACGAAATTTTAACAATATTGGAGGAATTTCTGCCAAAACCTACTGGGTTCCAAGATTTGTTCCTGAGTCTCTGGGATCATGGCCATTAAGCTGCTTGATCAGGGGCCAGAGAGGCCATTCGTGGGCGGCAACTCAGGGTCTCGTTGGGGCTGGGAAGAAAGAGCCAGCTCCGCCCCCATCCCATGAGGCCTGTGTGTCTCATCACTGTGGGCCCAAATCT